GCTAGGGGCAGGGATGGACAAAAACCGATTTTGGTTAAGATTGAATTCGGTTTTAAAATAATCAAAAATTTTTTTTTTTAAATTTTGAGAATCAAAATCGAACCGAAATTTTTACAAATTGATGAGCTTAGTTAAAGTCGGTTCGGTTTTAGTTTTTACTAAATAAATATTAATCATTTTTTTAATAATAAATTATATTTTATCTCATATTTTGTCATATTTATTCAAATTTTGATTTTCAGATGACTTATTTTTGGTTTTCGGTTTGTGAAAGATTCAACCAAAACAAAATCAAAATTTATTTGATTAATATCAAAATCAAAACAATAAAACTTAAAAATCATTGAAACCAAACCGAATTCATTTTTTTTATTCGGTTTCCAAGTAACCAACGAGTTACCCACCCGAATGCCCACCCCTAGTCAGGAGAAATTGCCTCCTGCACCACAACCCTTTTTTGCACCACAACCCTTTTTTGGGTAATTGAGAATGATATCATTAAAAAAAAAAAAAAAGTTTGATGACATTAACAAGACAATAAGGAATAACAACAAAATCTCGTTGTAGTGAATATCCCATTCTAGCAAGTTGATCCGCAGCCATATTAGATTGGCGTTTGATATGAAACATCTGAATATAGGGGATGAGTCTAAAGAGATGCCTACAATCCAAACTCAGAGAGTTGAGAGGGTGAGAAGTGCTGGTAATCAGCAACCTTTGATAACAGGTATTTTTAGAAAGAGAAATTTCAAATAAAACATTTCTTAGCTGCTATCCAATGATTTTGCGATTTTGTTTTTTCTTTTAACCAACGATTCGACAACTGAATTCGAAACAGATGAGTTTTTAGTTGAAGCATAAAAGGTAAATATGAAAAAACGATGTTAGATTTGAGAAAAAAAATTTTTTTTTTTTGTTTCTTTTCTCTCTTAAAATCCACTTAAGATAATCAAATAAAATTATTTATTTTAACTTTAATTGCTAGTTTGAGTAATGTCATACTTATGAAGCCAAATTCATATTTTCTTTTAACAATAATTTGGTGATTAAATGAGTACTTTATCATAAATCCATGGTTAAATACCTTTTTTTAGTCTCTCTACTATAAGAAAAAGTCTCTGTTTAGTTTTTATATCGAAAAAAATCTCATTTTTTGTCCTTAAATTTTAAAATTCGACTCTTTTTTAGTCCATTTATTAAATTTTGGTTGATATAGTAGGTTAATTAACAAAAAAATTTATTTTTTTTTTACTTAAATTACGTGAAAAATCTATTTCACAAAAGTTGATGACATGGCTAACTTCTTTTACCTTTGATTACTTATTTACCCCCATCTTCTTCCCCATCTTTTCCTTTCTCCGGTGATAAAAACCGTCAACAATTTCAACTGCACCTTTCTTCTCTTTAGTGCTTTCCATCCAGACTCCATCTCTTCCCAGGCAACAATTATCATTGCCTGCAAAAACAAAATCAACAAAACCCATAGCCTGTTGAAGCTCTGAAACACATTCCAAAACGACCTCTGCTCCACAAACCCTGTCTTTCCCACTCTATTGTTCTTGTTAACTGTATAGAGAAAGTTGCCCGCATGTCGATTGGCCACTTTAGACTCCTGAAACACCTTCTGCTCCAGAAATACTCATTAATGTCATCGTAGTTCCTCCAAGCAAAATGCGACGTAGTTCCGTTTCAACTGTCCTCCACTTCCTTCTTTATCATTTCGTAAAACTACATTACTATGTTCTTCAAGAAACCACAATCCGTAGAACTTGAGGACACAAATGGCATCCCCATGTAATCATCGATGTGATTATCCAGAATTTTGTTTAATTCCATCGCCATGTGGTTGTATATATAGCAAATGCATTCCAGCATGAAACGGAGGTTTGTAGATTCTCCCCAAGAACCCACGACGAACCCAGGAGCTTAGGTTCGCGATTAACCCACTTGTGGGTTTGCGACGAACCCAGGCGCCTAGGTTCATCGCGAATCTAGAACCCACAACGAATCCAGGTGCTTGGGTTCATCGCGAACGCAGGAACCCAGAACCCACGACGAACCTAGGCACCTGGGTTTAGGACGAACCCAGCTCCTGAGTTCGCCTGGAGGTAAAAGAAAAAAAAAAACTGGAGAAAGGAAAGGATGGGGAAGAAGATGGGAGGTAAATAAATAATAAAAAGTAAAAAAAAAAAAGTTAGTTATGTCGTCAACTTTTGTAAAATAGATTTTTCACGTAATTTAAGTAAATAAATAAATAAAATTTTTTGTTAATTAACTTATCACATCAATCAAAAATTAACGAAATGATTAAAAAAAATCAAAATTTAAAATTTAAGGATAAAAAAGAAGGATTTTTTTCAATACATGAACTAAAAATAAGTTTTTTTCTATAGTAGAAGGATCAAAAAGAGTATTTAACCTAAATTTATATATATGTTTTTTAATTTTGGAAGTTGAGTACTAAGGATAGAAATTTTAATTTGAAAATTTTAGTTTTAATTAATTTAAAATTTGAATCTTTTGAAATTTTGTTCCATTGAAGCTTGTAAATTAAGAGTTGGTGCCCACGGCTGTTCGGGGGGGTTTCGACGACGATGACAAAGAAAATGCAGGAAAAGAGGAGAAAGGAAAGGAAAAGAAAGGAAGACGAAGGGTGCTTTTGTCTTCTTAGGTTGATAAAATTAACAAAAGAAAAAAGGATGATTGGTTGAAGTTGAAAGTATATATTAAAAAACACTCCAACAGGTTGCAGTTCAGTTCCAACCGGTTGCTGCTCTTTCATTGCCTTAAATGCAGTGTGACGTGGTCCAATAAATAAGCAAGTGTGGTTGGAGAGTGTAGGAGGCGACTGCCCCCAGCACTGCTCCTTTAAAAACATACTAAAATAAAATATCTGATTTTTTTTTTTTTTGGTAGAAAAAATAAAATATCTGATAGCAATGAGACAATATGTATTTGAGGTTTTGTTAGGGGAAGGACCGAGGGAGGAGGGCCCCTGACGACCATCTTCAATTATTGTGGACCCACCTATTGCTATCATAAATTTTTATCAAATTATTTAATTCAACATACTCCATTCAAAGAATTAAAGATCACTCGCAGCGCTAGCTGCGTTTGACGAGGTACAATTTTACGAAGACCAAGACTTCAGCTGAAAATGATACTGGTACAATCATTTCGTCCTATCGTTTTATTCAACCTGACCTGACGTATATCCTTGATGTGATTTTTACATTAAAAAATTTTATTTAACAGGAAAAAATGGGAAATGCGGCTTCTGTCTCCCTGCTTTTCTTGGTTTCTATGTAAAAACTTATTTTTATTTTTGTATTTTAATATTTTTATTTTTAAATATAAATTATAATTATAATTTTTAAAAAAATTAAAATAAATACATATTAATCTATTTATTTATTATATCTTTAATATAAAAATTTTTTTTACTCAACATTATACGCAGGGTAAGGTGAACGCGATTGTCACGCCATTTTTTACAAAACATCATTACCGCTTTACTTATCGAGCTATGTTGCATTTTTTTTAATCACTTCTATGGAAATGGAAATTTCCTGTATACCACTCAACCTAATTGTTGAAATATTTATTGCACATTCCAGATTCATGCGTTAGTGCATTTTTCAGGTCACAGGCGTTGGGTACATTGCATGGTAAATCCTAGTAACTGCTACAAAGTTTGAAAGAATATTTGGAAAGTTTAACAATATAATTGGTTTTGAGCGAAATTGAATAGAAAGAAACGTCTTAATTTAATTTCTTCTATATTATTTTTTTAAACTTAATTACTATAAAGAGAAAAAAAAAAAGGCAAAAATATGACATAAGGACCCGAACTTACACCAAATTCGCAATTTCGGACCCAAACTTCGATTGCACTCAATGAAGGTTCCGAACTCGACGAAATTCTCAAATAAGGTCCCAATTGGACGGAAAACTAACTTCCGGTCAAATCTCCTATTATTCCGTTAATGTTCCGTCACACCCGCCACTTGAAAAAAATTGGTTAAATGCTAATTTTGGTCCCTCAACTTCATTGAGTTTCACTTTTTTGTCCCTCAACTTTATTAAATTTTACTTTTTTGTCCCTCAACTTCATTAAACTTCACTTTTTTATCCCTCAACTTTATTGAATTTTACTTTTTTGGTTCATAAACTATTTTTTGTACTTTTTTGGTCCTTAAATTATTTTTTACACTTTTTTAATCCCTTAACTTTAATAACTACATAATTTTGATACTTTCATCAATTTAAGCCATTAACTCTGTCCACTTGGTATTTTATATATTTTTTTGATGACATGTATAATCTAACTGGAAAAAAATAATAACATAAATCATCTAACTAGAAATAATGATAACATGGATAAATAAAATAATATGTAAATAAATTTGTATATTTTTAATAAAAATAGAAAAACCTCTCCACCTATTTTCTTCCCTCGCTAGAAGAAAGAGAAAGAAAGAGGGGAAAGAAAATAGGTAGAGAGGTTTTTATATTTTTTTTATAAAAAATATAAAGATTGATCTACATGTTATTTTATTTATCTATGTTATCATTTTTTTCCAGTTAGATTATAGGTGGAGAGGTTTTTCTATTTTTATTAAAAATATAAAAATTTATCTACATATTATTTTATTTATCCATGTCATCATTATTTCTA